TGTTTCTGGTGTAAATGAATGCATGGTAAGCCAGTGTAACCATTAGCTGGTAATATCCCTCAATGGTTGATTTTTCCTCTCCAGTCAATACAGGAGTAAAAACAGGACGCTAATTGTCTCTGGAAAGCTACTTGCATTCCAACACCAGCATATTAAAGAAACAGTTCACCCTTAAATAATGACATAATTTACTTACCCATGACATTCCAAACCCATATGGCTGTACCACAGGCTGTCGAGCACCAAAAGGCACTACAAAATCACTATTGAAGAAATCCATGCACTATATTCCAAGTCTTCTGAAGCCAGGCAAAAGCTTCGCATTGCAAGTGCAATGCCGTACCAGGTGAGCTACTGTACCGAACAAGTTTACTGTACAGAAAAGTTGTACATATGGAGCTAGTTATGTAATGCAAATGTAAAAATGTATTAGTTTACAATAAATGTACTAAAAACATTTTGAGGTCATCATGACATAGTATTTGTGCAAGGAACCACGCAAAAATAAGGTTTTATTAATCAATAATCTGTTATCATAAAAACGCTATCTCACGACCAATTCATACGTATTTTACGAGGTGGCTATTTTGTACGAATTCGTACGACCTCACTCGTACGAATTTGTATGATTTGTCTATACCCTAGTGACGGGTAGGTTTAGGGGCGGGGTCAGGGGTAGGTAATTCGTATGAATTCATACGAATTGGGCAACTCATAAAATACGTACGATTGAGCAAAAAATCGTACGAGTGAGGTACGAATTCGTATGATATAGCCACCTCGTAAAATACGTACAAATTGCCGTGAGATCGGGTTGTAACAACGCATTCTCATCCTTTGGCGTCATATAGATGACGCCATATGACATTTCGTCGAAATCTTACGCACATGGCATCCTTTAGCGTCAATATAACACGCACTGTTATGGGTAGGTTTAGGTCTGGGGTAGAGTACGGTTATGACGCCTTGGGATCTGCGTCTCATATTGACGCTAAATGATGCCATGTGCGTCGGATTTAGACGAGCGTCACCTGTATGACGCCTTGGGTTCTGCGTCTCATATTGATGCTAAAGGATGCCATGTGCGTAAGATTTCGACGAAATGTACAAAGCGTCACATGTATGACGCCAAAGGATGAGAACGGGCTGGTTGTAATCATAATATGTCTGAGAAGGAATAAAAGTCGTTGGCATTTTACTGCCTCTGGTGTTCATTTCAGCTGGAAACTGCAAAGAATTGTTTAAAATATGAAATGTTTCCAGAGTTTAGCAAAAATTTAGGTAGGGGCACGTTTATCCACTGAGCCAAGGTTCTGTAGGAAGATAAAAAGGGCTTTGAAGTTGGAGAACCTGGATCATGTTCCTGTTGGTGTTAAGCTATGTTTTGTGGTCAACACTGCTCAGGAATTGACTGACAGCTGAACAGAAGAACTTCGATGATCGCCAGCAAAACAAAATGTGTCTCTGAGGCTAGTGCTGATCGGGTTACACATGGTACATCTTCCTCTCTTCCTGCCTCCCCCCTCTCCTGTTGATGCTCCGGAAAAACTCGGGCCATTTAATCCACAAGCTCTATCGCCTCAGACAGACAGCACTGTTGTTTGGCGAATAAATCTGATATGAAACTCAATCATCAGGCATCTGATAACTCGGAGCGGCGGTCATGCGATCACCTCCATGCTGCTGGAACGATTTTAGTGCTCTTTCATTCATCACAGAGAAATGTATAATGCATCTTGCCGAAAGAATGGCGTTCATGGGAGCAAATTAACTTGAGTGATCTTCGAGGATCTTCGATTGTATGATCTGGAACTCCCTCATTAGTTCCAGAACTTCGATCCTCATAGCATAAAAAGCGCTCTCTTCTTCATTACCATCCATGTGGTTATCAAACGCCCTCCCCTGGTGTGCGGGAGGCAGGCCCATGTATGATCTTCAAGATCAGATTTTTGATAATGATTTCATCCATTTTGGAGTCCTGGGGTTTCGTTAATTCAGTCCAAATATATAAACACCTCCCAACCCAGATGGTAGACCATTTTGCTTTTGAACCGTTCAATTTGCGGGGGTTTTGTCGTGCCATGGGTAGGAGGGCTGCAGCTGGTGTGGAACAAGGAAGAGAGGAAGTGCGTATGTGTAACAGACAGAGAGAGTGTCAAAAGGGAAGAGATGGAATGCCGATGTGTGTGTGTGTAATTTCTAGACCACGTCAGAGCCTGATGGCCCTATGCAGAGATACTGGAGCAGAAAATTATCTCACAGGCCGCATCGCTACCATGGAGGTCTGTTCTGTTCCTTTGAAAGAAAAACAACAGCGGCAAAGACCGTAATAATAAAAAATTTAACATTTGATGATAAAAGACTCCATCTGTCCATCTTGTTTTCATTATTTAAAACAGCTTCACAAAGAATTTGCAATGAAACAAAAAACACAATGGAAAAAACTATCCAGTTTTAAAACATATTCTCTTTATTTTGAACAATTATTATTTACAATTAATCAGAAAAAATATACATTTCAGCTAACATCCTTTCTGTATGAAAAGGTAATATTTTTTTCCTCAAAGTAAAAAAAATAATTATAATTGTGAGATCAATTTTAAAATTAGTCAGAATTGTTAGATTTATAAAGTCATATTGTGAGATATACAGTTGCAATTGATATAAAATCATAATTACTAGAAATAATGTCAAATTACCCTTTTCATTCATTCATTGATATATACTTCCTGTCTACTGTATATAGAAGCTTGTCTCACCTCAGAGTAAAAAATAAAGCGTAATTGTACACTACATTTTAGAATAAGAAGTCGGAATTGTGAGATATAAAGTCGTAATAGTGATAAAAGCACAATTACAAGCAATAATTTCAAATTACCTATTCATTCACTCAGCTGATGTCCTGTCTCTATGGAAGCCAGAGTAAAAAAAGTGAGATAAAGCTTAAAAAAAGAAGTCACAATTTTGAGAAATATTGTCACAATTGCAAGATTAAATGCCATATGTGATAAAGTCACAATTACAATCAAAAATGTCAAATTGCCTATTTATTTATTCATTCAGGTTGAGATGTGTCCATGGTCTCTTAAACATACATATTTAATAAAGTAGGCCCAGTGTTGGGAAAGTTAATTTTCTACATGAACTAGTTCAAAGTTCAGTTCACAAATTTTAAAATGAACTAGTTCAGTTCATAGTTCATACTTCAAAAAATGAACTAGTTCATAGTTCTTTTTTTCCATATGTTGCTGCGAGCTATTATTATTTTTTTATTATTATTGCCACAGCCCATATACAACCACAGACAGCAATAATTTAATCGCCGGGCAAAGTTTGCACAGAAATGTAAGATTTTTCCCATCCTCACTGAGCACTGACCTATAAACTTTCTTAAACAACTCGTTTAAATAATCATACGACGCCTCCTCGCTCGCTGCTTTGTCGAATACATGCTGCTTTTTGTCTTGATGACGCATGCGGCGGCCGCCGTGCGACCGGGTGCGACACTGGTGGCTGGTGTTGCCAGATTGGGTGTTTTTTCGCTACATTATTAAGGCCTGTTTACGCATGTTTTAGCCGGGTTTTCGCCTGGAAGGCTCCATAGAAATCTGGCACCCTATTGCACGAAGTTAAACTGAGCGAGTGTGCGTTCACAGACACCAGAATGAACGCGTTCACCGTAACGTTCATCAGGCAGTAATACAGTACGTTCAGTTCACGTTCGCCCAAAATATGAACGAGTTCATGAACTATCGTTCATTGAACGCGTTCAGGCACAACACTGAGTAGGCCCATGCCTGAATAACAGAATTTTTTCAAAAATATTGTTAGATGTGCTTGGATTTGCACACTTAATAACAAGTCGATGTTCAGCTAGTAATATATACCTGCCATGTAAACCACTCACTTTGTTTAAAGGGGTCATATAATGCCATTTTTGTACAAGCTAATATGATTCTTTAGGGTCTAAATTAAAAGTTTGTAATATACTTTAATTACAAATTCTCATTAGTATTGTAAGAAAACACTTATTTTACTTGGTCAAAAACAGCTCTGTTTTCAGCACGCCGTTTCAGAGCATATGCCTTTAAATGAGAATGAGCTTTGTTCACCCCGCCCCTCTGTTCTGTGCGTACACCGTTTGTAACACAATAACACAATAACCATAACGCGTTGTTCAGTATAAACGTGGGATTATGAATTATATTGAGAACATCATACATAGAAAACATGCCGTAATGTACCCTAAGTGTAAACCTTAGACGCATTCATTGTGAAGCGTGCAGCTAGCGATTTGCAAAGATTAATATAAATAGTAATATAAAGTTTAATAAAACGTTACACTCACTTCAGTTGTTCTAGAGGTTCAGCAGGAACACGAATAGCTGGTACCGATCCTTTTTTCATGAGCAGCTTCTTAGCAAAACCAGCTTTATACTGACCCTCGTTTATAAAGCTGTCTGGTGAGAAATGATTCGCGCAAACATGAGAGCATTGACGTTGCTCGTGGGGAATATTCCCTTCGAAAACAAACTCAGCCACTGCGTCTTCAGCGGTTCGGATTTAGGAACATCAAAATGACTGCTGTGTTCGTTATTACACCCAAGAACAGAACACCACAATCGCTTAGACGCCATTCTGCTCATAGACAGTGCTCCAGCATATCAACAATGACCGCGCCGGTCAGCGCAGACTATGATTGACAGCTGGCTCACGGGCGAGGGGGGGTCTGTGTTGAAACGATGCTGTCAATCAACAATCGTGGGAGGGGTTTCCGAGCGTGTGACGTCACAAGGTCGAACAGCTTGATTTGAGACAGGGGAAAACATATAAGGAGATTAAAACAAAAACACTGGATGGATTTTTATCATTTTATGATGGTTGTGTACAGGCACTGCCAACACACATTTCAGTACAATCAACTTGTAAAAGTGCATGTACCATTATATGACCCCTTTAAAAAAAGAAATAAAGCAATTGTTTCAATACATAAAAACTTGCTTGCAAGGAGGTGCACCAGACCCTTTCTGCACCCTGGGGTTTGATATTGAATTCAGGATCTCGGCTGAACTCGGTGCTCTCTGTGTGCTGGTGGCAGAAGGGCTTGTGTTGGAATTTGTGATGAAGAGGGGAACGCTGGGATGTGCTTGGCCCACTGAGCTCCACATTATGGATGTGTCCACGGCTGTGAGGCTGCATGTCTCCGTGACAGCTCTCTCTCTCTCTCTCTGTCCGTCTGCAGCACGCCGTGTTAGATTAGAAAGCCTGTCTGCTTTCTGCTCCGGGACGGCCAATGCATTATGAACACCACAGATCTAACAGAAGAGAAGAGAAGGGTGTTTGTCATATGTAGGGCTGGTTATTCCTTTGCAAGTATAAAGAAGAGCACTCTGCTGTGAGCTCCAAAACACGGCGGCGTTGTAAATACTGCAGACAGAGGGTTTGTCATTCCGGAGTGCCGGAGTCACATTGCTTGAGACTTGGCAATATGCCTCTTGGCTCTGCGGTGACAGCGCCATATATTGTGATGTATTGTTGTAAATGTTTAAATGCATTCGCGTCTAAGCTGGCAGAATTGCGCTGTAATGTAATTCCTTACAAGCTATAGGGAGGAAATAGTTCTGGTGTGAGCGCGCGGTGACGTTTTCGTGAATGTGATCGATTGTATTCCGCTTACAGGTGATTGATGTGCGTGAGCGGGGCCCTGTGTATTACCGTGCATAATTTAGGCTTTTGCTCTGTTGATAGAGTAAGCTTTCAACCGAGCGCGTCTCACAGGAGATGGACGTTATCTGGGCGCCAAGTTTCCGTGGCCGTTTGAAGTCGCCTGTTTACTGTACAAACAGGTGAGTCACAGTTAAAGAACCTGGGCTAAAGCTAACAAGCTTACCGCGACGTGTCACAAAGTGTGAATCTGAATAACTCCTCTAAGAGAGTTTCGAAGCGATGATACGGGTGCCAGGACTCAGCGTTCGATGACACTTGTTTACGTGACAAGTTCAAATCCTCCTTACGAAGAGCCACCATGCTTATTTGAATGAAAAATAACTCGTGCACCCCCCCCCACACCCCCCACCCCACCCCCAAATATTCCATTTGCATAAAAGCTTTCATTTAGCACAGATGAACTCGGGAGGCGAGCGCAGAGCTTGCTGGAGATTAGAGCAGTTCATTTGTCACATTAAGAAGAATTACGTGTGTTTGTGTCACTGAGCAGAAGGAAAGAGAGTTTAGTGTGAATTAAAGAAACGACAGAGAACGAACGCCGTTTGAATGCACGGGCAAACAAATCAAAGAATAAATGAGTAAACCGAAAACAAACAAATAAATACATTTGAGCCCGCAACAACTAAATGACAAGAGTAACAGTATTAGGAGGAATTTCAAGAACTAATAAATGAGGGTGCTTAATGGTGGCTAAAGAGAAAACAAATCTAAATGGAGCTTGACTTATGTGGAGGGAAAGTGGAGTAAATTAACTCAGTGAATAAAAAAAATAAAAAAACACTGACCGCATTCACTGTGTTGTGGTCTGATAGGGTTGGATGAAATGTAGCAAATATCACATTTAAACAAACATTTGTTTTTTAACAAAACACAAGAGCCGTGAGAGAACGGCTCGAGACCGGTCTCGTATCTCTCACAGAGGCGCTTCGGAAGCACAAAAGGAGGAGCGATGACAGTGAAGGACGAGAGAGGACCAGGCCTGGACTATTTTACGTTAGGTTTTGTTTATGTGTGTGCGGCAGTCGTCCACGAGGGACTGCAGCTTTTACTTTTGTGTTTGTTTGATTATGATTATTAAAGTGTGAAACGATCGCCGGTTTCCCTTCTTCCCTAAATTACTACGGTGGGGAATTTCAACTGACTTCTATTGTTTTTATACCAAACTCTAATAATATTATTAATACATTTATTTCAAATTAATATATTTTTTTTGACAACAATATTTATATTAATTAAAATAGTAATATTAACATTGCTATTTATTAAAAGTGTTAATCTATTTTATTAACATTAATAAAAAGAATATGAATATTATAATGTATTAATATACTTCATTTGCATTAATATTATTTTAAATAATTATATTAACCATCCCTAACCCTATTATTTTTTAGCATTAATATTAGCAATAATTTAAATATATGTATTAATATTACAGTACATGTCTATTCTTTAACTACAAACACACACATATATGTATATATAGGCCTATATATATATACAGTGCTGGTCCGAATTATTTGCCCCCTTGGTAAAATATTTGTTCCCAGTGTGTTTTTGGAGAAAAAAAAACATTTATTTCATAATGTGATTTTCCACCCACTTTCAATTCTTTTACTCCAATAAAAGGTAATATTTTTTATTTTATTTTTAAAAAAAAAATATCAAAAGGATAAACAATACAGATTTATTTTTTACAGCCAGGCATCTTTGATCAAATTTACCAAGGGGGGGGGAATAATTCTGACCAGCACTGTATATATATTAATGAATTTATGTATAGTAACTCAGTAAACACACGTATACACACACTACGTTACTAATCCTCCTAATAAATGCAATACAACTTGAACCAAAAACCCTACATATTTTTTCTGTCTGTTGCGTGGTCTGTGTGTGTGTGTGTGTGTGTGTGTGTGTGTGTGTGTGTGTGTGTGTGTGTGTGTGTGTGTGTGTGTGTGTGTGTGTGTGTGTGTGTGTGTGTGTGTGTGTGTGTGTGTGTGTGTGTGTGTGTGTTCTGATTAAAATGATTAATGAACAAACACACAACACTGGCGTCCTGCAGAACGGCAGACGTTTGAACAGATGATTGCTCTGACATTGACGGATGGAAGACAAACGTGTTTAATGTTCCAGGTTCAGACAAATCTAGAATGCCCTTATTACAGACTCCAAAGACAGCGCTTGTCTTTTGCAGCGGGCTGTTTATTGAATAGAAAGCACAAATAGATAGAGAAATCCTCTGTTTAGGCCTCTTGTGTTGTAAAAAATAAAAAAAGCTTTCCACCAGATAGTTCAATCATCTCCCCCTTCAGCTCTCTGCCCCGTAGTGGGAGGAAAAAAGAAACTTTTTGTGCACCTGGTTGGCATTTTCCCTCTTTTCTCCAGCATGGATGAAGGTCAAATGAATAAGACCGCTGTGCAGGGGTAGCTTGACATGGCTTGGAGGAGTGTACTTCATTTAAGCCGGACTCGTTGGATAAGGCCTTTGTTGCTTTATTTCTGGAACTCTCGCCGCTAAACACAGGGGAGGGACAGCTCATGACAGGAGCAGGGCCTTTGTGATTCTGTGGGCAGAATGACCCACACTTTAACAAGCAATGACTTTCTTTTATAGGCCTGGAATCCACAGCACTGTATCAGATGGTCACTCAAGCAAGTTGAGGCCTCCTGCTAAGCAAACACTCACAGATAAATGTATCAGCGCTCCATTAAAACTGTTTCAATCACATTTTGAAGGACCACCTTGGTTATCTTTGGATGTCTGCATGTGCTTAAATGATGCTTTGAATGTCATAATGTTTTTCCATAATGCTAGATAAAACTTATATGTTGTGATAGTTATACCCAGTAGTTAAAACCAATACCATTTTGCTAATGTTCCCATTAAGTTATGAACATGTTATCTCTGAATGTTCCCTGAACATTCAAAACATCCTTTTTTTTAATGTTTTAAAAACGTATTTTTCTTGGTTATACGAACGTTAAGGGGATATCCCATTGTAAAAAAATTGCGCACATTATTGCAATGTTTTTTTAATGTTCTCAGCGTTCTGAAACAAGTAGTACCATTTAAAAACCGTTACACGAACGTCCAACTAAAACATTTCAGAAAGAAATGTAACAATGTATAAATGAAATTTTTGTGCTAATTTTTTGAGCACATCATTAAACACCTGATAACTTTGAATGAATGTTCCAATAATGTTACTGAAAGAATTTTTGTTCATAACTTTGAGAGAACAGTATGAGAGAACATTTTGAGAATTTTCCCTGTTATAGATAGTTGAGTACATTTGTGTGATTGTTGTGTACTCGCCATATTCACGCATTAGAAGCAAGCAAGTACATATTTGAGACCTGACGGGTAACTCATTTTACAGTACATTAACGCTAGAATTTTGCATTAAAATTCAAGAAATAGGACAGAGAACAAGAATAGTAATATCCTTTCTATTTTTCATTGATAGTAAAGAACAAAAATATAGCTTTATAAAGAACACTAGCATAGTCCAAACCTGAATTCAAGTGCCATTATGCTGAATCTGTCAAGAAACATTTATAATAATAATTAATAGGCTACATTTATATTTGTATCTAAATATGAATACATTTATATTAATATATTTTAGTTATTTAATTAATAAATAAATAATTCATATTATTATTGTTATTTATTAAATTCCTCAAATACAAGTTGCTCTCCAAACGCTACAAGCACCTATAGAAAAATGTGAATTATACTTCAACGGACGCAGTTAATTTCGACATTTTTGAATGGACTGCATTCATGCCAAAACTTACCGTAATGGTACTGGAATCCACGTGAACCTTACTGCAGGTCAAACTTTGACAAGAAAGGATGTCAGACATCAGGTCTGCACCAAAAACTTGTGTGAAAGCGTCCTGAAACAAAGGTAGTGGGTGTGTCATTCCATTTGGGAAACTCTTATATGTTATGGTTAACAGTTTTGGTTTCCACAGCATCATTGCGTCCCCTGCAACGTTCTGCACTGAAGCCTGAAGCTAGACTCTCAAACGCTACAAAATGTTACTCTCTAATTTAGCTGAGCAGACAAAAGCAGATACGAAGGTGGGGCGCCACTTTGCTTTACCGATGTGCATTTATAAGTGTGTGAATTGCTGTGGTTTCTCCATTCTGATATATGACAGTGTAATAATGTGATTGTCTCACCTGCTTTAATGTCCAGAATGCTGAAAACGCCTTCAGTGTGTGCCAAGATTGCATTGATCCCCCTTTCCCTAAAAAAATTATAATAATTATCTATTTTAAAGCACATCATCTCACACTGCATGTTTTATTACCTTCTGTTTGGCCGTGGTTAATGACAGACCAATTTCTTGACACCTTTTTGACCCCGTGTGTCATCTTCCTGTCCGAGGGCGTCTCTGCGTGTGGCGGAACTGTGCGAGAGTGGACGGCTTTTGCGCGTGTGCCAGCAGTGTTAGCTGGAACAGCTGGAGGTGTTTGAGAGAGAAGCGTTTTGGCTCGTCCTTGGTTGAGCAGCATATGGCAGCTGGCCCGCACCTGTAAGCCTTGACCTCCGCATTCAGACCCGGTGGACAAACACTTACCACGAAATACAGCACATTAGAGCACTGTGGATTCCAGGCTGGAAACCAAGAGGCTTTAGAGTTCAAACCACAGATAAAGTGATCCAAGAACTGGACAAACGCTGGGTTCCCCTTACACCATTGTGACCTTGAGCGAAAGGAGTTATCGTAGTTACTCTATGAGCCCTGAAGTTATCGTAATGTAAGTTGCTACTGCTATATACTCTGTGGAATACTTGATTCTGATTGGTCAGCCAAGGGCTTTAGTTTTATTATTACTGTAATATTGTTGCAGTGTTCGTCTTATAAGATTGTTTTGTATGACATAAGAGACTATTTTTTTCTTAGTGGAAGCTCTATGATAATATATTTAAATGAAAACATTAAACTCATATAAATTTCCACGAATGTATTTATTGAGCAGTTTATGCATACACATAGTACATGTAAAATAATTAGAAAATTTTGAAAAGAGGGCATATGATTTCTAGAGGGAAATCAGATGCACTGAGATTAATTTGTGTCTGTAAAACTCTTTAATACATCTTAAAGTCATATTTTAAGCTGATATGTTGGTATGTTCCACAGTGTTTTCGGGAACTGGATTTGAATCCATTTGTCAGACTCAGCCTAAATTTAAGATTTACGTATTTTAATTGCATATAAATTTCTCATACTTTTGGATTACATAAACTAATAAACTTAATGCGAGCCATATACATAAATGAAACTGAGAAGAAACAAAGATTTCTGTGAATGTTTTTTTTTTAAATACATAACCATGTTTATTATCAATAAATATTTTTTTAATAAATGAAAACTGCTTGTTCCACAGCTGGTCATGTAATTGTTTTCACAATTAATAGATTTATAGCTATTATAAGATTCTAAGCTATTTGAATAAATTAATTTAGAAAATATGATTATTTAAATCAAATCAAATATATTAGTTAATAATAAACTAATTTGTTTTATGTATATATTTTGAGTGCAGAAATCGTTCCTGCTTCATTTAGGTATAACTGGGTTTGTTTATGTCAAAATCAGATATTTTATATGCAATTCAAATACATACATCTGAAACGTGGGCTTAAATATTTGTTTGTGTGTATAAAATGGACTAAATTTAATTTCAGTGCCAAATTAATGCACAAATAATTATGACTCATAGAGGATAAAAAATATAGATATTTTAAAAAAAGAAAAGCATAAACATTACAAGTCCAGTAGTGTTCAAAGTTGTGCTCAGGTCACCAAAAATCACACTAGCAGGATAGAAAAAAGGGCAAGCGTAGGTTTGATACGATGTATGAATATGTGTGTTTTGGCAAGCGTTCCTTCAACAAGTGTGTAACATTCTATTTGTTTCGATTCTTGTGGTGTTGGCACCAGCCAGCATGCCCCATATGACCCCAATGCCATATTAGCGAGTTTCACAAAAGCAAAGCTGTGCTGTGAAGTTCGCAAGCGTCTCTGACCCGTGTCAAAGCTGGTTTGTCTTCTTGTAATGGCACAACAAATATGAAACATTCTTATAGCTTTTTTTCTTTTCTTGCACACTAAAAACGTAAACAATAAAGACTTGGCTCTCTTTGCTTTCTGGAATGATGTATACGTTCTGCGTCTCTAATGATTCCGGGCGTCTGTGCTATCTCGCCTACTTCAGCAGGCATCTGCCACCAGTCCTCGACACGCGGCACACAAAGTCAACGGAGGCCGCTTCTGAATATCAATTCATTAAAACACATCACACCATAGCAGACGGCTGTGCAAGATCTATTTCTAGTGAATTAAACTGCTCAGCTCAAAAGTTGTTTGCTCTAGTATCATCCTCATGACTCAACGTGCAATCAATGCAACGGTTTTTAAAGAAAAGTACACACGCACAAAAAAGCAGTCACTTTAATGTTTCATCTGAATGTGTGTGATTAAACTGCAACTGGCGAAAAGTCTTCTTGTCAATAATGGTAATTACAGTTTAGGTCTGCACGCTGTAATTACCCTTTACTCTTTTGGGGTTAATTCCTGTAATGCCCTTGATAAGACCTGATGCAGGAAGAGGAAATATACTGACCCTCTGTGAGTGACCTCTAGCCTGGTCAAAGTGATTACCCACAATGCACCGGCTGGCGCAATCTCTGAGCCATCTGTGTGTGGCCAGGGAGTGGCAGTGGCTCCTGTCCAGATGTGACACGATGAAGGGATTGGGGGAGAGACTGAAGGGGGTGAGAGGAGGCCGGCTGAAGGTGCAGGGCGTCAGGACGAACGGGCTGTGGGGATCTGACGGGAGCAGCTGGTCGCTACATGTGTATAAGTTCAGCTGTAATGCATTAACCCAAGCAGCCACCCAATCCCTGATACGGACACACACAGCCAGAGACACCTTGGTACAGGGTAAATGGGGCATTGTTTTGTACAACACGTGTACATATACAAAAATGCACACAGTCACGATCAGTGTTGTGGGATGTTACTTTTAAAAGCAAAGCTATTCAATATTGCGTTACTCCCTGAAAAGGTAACTAATCGTATTACTTGTGTTACATTCAACGCTATCTCACGACCAATTTATACGCAAATGTGATATTTAACTAAAGTCATTTGGTTGAATTGGATCATTGAAGTAGCCTGGTTAAAACCAGACCATTCTCAGTTGTAACTGAGTTATGGTCTGGCAAAGCGTCATAGACAAATCATTTCCAGAGGGGCGTCACCAACGGACGTCGCGGATAGACCTAAAACCAATCAGAGCGATGAAGGAGATGACGTATGCAGAGCGGCAGAAACATCTCCGAGTGTTGTTCTTTGCTCGGTTTTTAACAAAAAGGAAACGTTCAAATCGCTTAAAACAGACGCGATAGCTGATTCGAACGAGTGATGTTCGACGGCGGCATCCATCTTTGTAATGTAGGCTACAAAATCTGCTTTAAAATCCCAGCGCTGTCGTCATCGTGTAAAATCCGCCCCAACGTTTCTGATTGGCGCCTCGATTTCGACGGATTGGAAATGGGCTTGAATGAGCTCTTTGCCAGACTAACTTTCAGAGCAAATCTAAATTTGCCGGAAGTTGTCTGGGTTTTCCCAGGCTATCATTGAAGGTCAGTAGCAAAGAAATTGGTTAATAAAGTGAGATTAAATACATAAAGTATATTTGTTTTATATTTATGATTACATATTTGTGCACTTTTTTCAGACGTAATAACAGATTCCAAGGTCGCCTGTTTCTAGTTTTCTCTTTTCATCTCAGCCAGTTCCAGAGAACTGAGAGTCGATCGGCCTTATAGAAAAGGCATCTGTGTCGTTGTGTTATAGTTTGACAGTGAGACTTCTCAGGTGAATCTAATGGGCCATATCTAATAGCCAAGTGAACAAAGAGACGAAGAGTTTATTACGCTAACAGCGTTATGCGTATATCTGGGCAAAGCATGGCTGTAAATCAGCTCCAGTGGTTTTACTCTCTCACAGTGACACTTTAAATTCACTATGACAAACACCTCAAATATGTGCCTTAATATTCTCCGCCTCCCTCTGGAAGACTTCATGCCATCTCTCGCCTGTCTAAATATACTCAAGACAAATGCCTCCAATAAAAGCAAGTTTTACAACAGTTAGCATAGCTCCTCTTAAAGTTTGGAGGTTCTTAAAAAAAATGATCAGCTAAACTTTAATATATATAGTTTTCGAAGGCAAGAAGCCACGAAACATGTCTTTGTCAACGAAGCTTGCATGTAAAGCTAAGAGACAGCCGGGATCAGAGCAGGCGGTGTAAAAGTGATGCTATTTGAGCCCATTTTTTATGATTCTGTACTTTGTGATTTATAGCAGAGCTCTTCCTCATAAGTGTTGAGTGTGTAATGTCAGTGAGATATATTGTTGGCGGAGTGAGAAAGTTTTTCTCAGGTTGTTGGGATTTTATTTCTTTCCCATTTTGATGGACGATTATAGAAAAAGGCAGCAGGTTGCGCCATAAATCAGGGCTCAGTCAATGAGCGGAGCAAGTCCGCAGTTTATGTTTACTAATTCTCCAGGTGATGTCGTAAAGAAGGAACGTTCAATGTCATCAGGGACTATAAAACGGCAATGGAGGAGACCACTGTTTGTCTCTCTCTCTCTCTCTCTCTCTCTCTCTCTCTCTCTCTCTCTCTCTCTCTCTCTCTCTCTCTCTCTCTCTCTCTCTCTCTCTCTCTCTCTCTCCTCCACCCACTCCTCCTCTTGGTGAGATTGGTGCTGCATATCTAATAGCGGCCATGAGTAGAAACTTCTTACAGGCTGCTTTTTATTAACCTGTAACTCCCGTCCTCGCTTATTCATACTGATGAATATACAAGTTTTATAAGCTTTCTGCTTTTCTTTCTCGTTTCATATTCTACTATGAAACCGTTTAAGGCGCTGGATGTTATACAAATATGCTGTGCCATGCTACTGTTACGGTGTTATTCATTTTGTCATGTTTCTGGTTTGTGGTTTCTCTGTCTTTGGTCTTTTATTCAGTTTGTGCCTTGTTAATTGTAGTCTGTTATCCTAGTCATGTCATTATTAGGTCCCTTGTTTCAGGTGTGTTGTCTTGTTAGGTTGTATGGTCCCGCTCGTTGTTCTGATTTGCCCCAGCTGTGTCTTGTTCCCTGATCCCCTCTGTGTATTTATATCCTGTCTTCTCTTTTGTTCATGGTTCAGTTATTGAA